AATTTTCTTAAAGGGATTAAATCGTACGATTTATCGATTTAAAAAAAAAATGTAAAGAACAAATGCCGCGTTCTCAGATCACGAACAGTAATGGCGATATATTACAACTTGTTTTCAGTTCAATGTCTCCTTTATATACAGTCTATTTTACCATTATTAACAGTACCATCTATTGCGCCTTCGAAAGAGAAAAATTCGAATTTACTACGACCGTCCTGAGATATTTATTCCCACTAAGGAAGTCGATCGTAAATTATTCCCCGCCAGACAAATGACAAGTGAATAAGATGTTACACGAGTGAAGTATAGGTCAGGTTTGCTGTAAAAAGTCTCTGCTGTAATAATGAATGGTCTTATGTAACATTACTTATGACTTTTATTACTCGCAGATATAGTTAGCTAAGGCTACGACCGATAAAAATGAATGCAACAATTTATATGTCCACGAGGTAATGACAATTTTGTACCCTCGTCTTTCATGTTAGGTACTACCAATTTCTATATCGTAAAATAATTATTTAGCGTAAAGTTTAATGTATTTAATATGGAAATAACTCTTTCTGAGGACGCTACATCGGCTTTCACACGGATTTATACGCGTGGACTCTTAACTATCCCATTTTCTCTAATAATTTATCTTAAAAGGGCTGTAAATCCTGTAAATAAGGTCATAAGATGACTCGACTTGACGTCGGATCTGTCTACGAAATTAATGGAAAGAAGAATCGATTAAGTCACAGCTAAAGGTCGATTCACACACGAATGTCATGCGATAGGTCAGGTGGACGACGCTTTAGAAAGTCGTGACATGTAAGGAGAATTTACAACAATTCCATCCACAGACCGCGACAATAATTGCGACAATAATGGCGACAATAAACTCATCCAAGATCTTCGCGGCGCGATTTTCGCAATTATTTTGCACGTACAATTATACTTTTCTCCGGCCTACGTGAGGGAACTGGGAGACATCGATGCCCTCCCATCCTGCACAGGCGATGCCGTATCTGCAGGGGAGGCATTCACGCCCGCCATTGTATAGGGTGAAAATTTCAGAATGAAATATCAGGAAAAAGTGCAAAATGTCAGAAAAAAAGAAAATCGACGGAAACGTGACTTTATTATTGCATTTATTACAACGCTCATTTATACCCTAATAGTCCAAAATATGTCATATATTTCCAATATATTTAACGAATATCGTACATTTTGTAAATATTTAACAGACAAAACACATTGAGCTGATATTACGCAAATACAATGAAAATAATATTCTAAAGTAAATGCTTTGATATTGACAAAATGTACGACATTCGTTAAATGTATAGGAGATATTAGACAGATATTTTCTGCTACTAAGGATAGTATGTTTAGCAACATTAGATTGAATTGACAGAGATTTAATTCATTCAACGAAATATTTTTCTACCCGGAAGATAAAATGTTGAATAAACAAATCTCATGCAACCACCTGTATGAGGTAATAAGTATGCGTATGCATGGTGAGAAATAATAATTAATTGTAACAATATACATGTATGACAAATATTTTGTGCTACTACGTATAGTACGTTTAGCAACATTGGATTGAATGAAGAAAAATTTAATTCATTCGACCAAATGTTTTTCTACGTGAAAAGACAAAATGTTGAATGAAAAAACGTCATTCAACATTTTGTCTTTTCACGTAGAAAAACATTTGGTTGAATGAATTAAATTTTTCTTCATTCAATCCAATGTTGCTAAACGTACTATACGTACTAAATAATAAGTGTGTACATGTATACACTTATTAAAGTGTATACATGGTGAGAAATAATAATTGTTGCAACAAAGTCGGCACCCCCGCGTCTCATGTATTATTGCCAATTTTCTTCGGCATGTTAATCATCTTCACTTTTTACAGAAAAGCCTCGGTGAAAGGTCTAAACAGATTGGCGCTCGTTAAATAGAAAGTTTATTGGAAAAAGAGGTGCGAGATCCTTTGTCCCGCGCGAAAGTCTCTTTGATGTTCCATCGGCAGATTCCGGGATGTCAATAGACACTCGGAAGAGATCTTACTAGACACGAAACACGGAAACACCATTACCGCACCGTAATAACTGCGTCTAAAACGCGAAAAAAATGTTAACTTAACGTAAAGGCAAAAATTAACTCTTGAACACGGAGTCATTTCGACATATGGGCGAAATTCGTCCGACCGTGCAGGCAATATTGGACCAAACGTCGTTTCAAAGGAATTATTTCTTTGAATGGAGTCGACGAACGTCTATCATAGGCGAAGACGTAAAACGACAAATGCCAAATGTTAATTTCGATATTTCACATTTTCTGTTCCTAAGGTGATATGAAAGGATCATTTAATATATTGTACATATAGAAGGACGAAAAATGAAATTTCACGAGCAACGCGTTCTTCTTTAGGGCCTCCATAATCACGTGTTAAAGTTTTTAATGATTCGGTGCACCCTGTTTGAAAAAAAGTTTGATCAATATTTTGACGTTTTATATACATAGAATAATCATTTCATATCGCCTTAATGAGAGAATAAAATCGTCACGATAAGATGAAAAGCCCGAACGAAGCACCGCTGGCCAAAGTTTGGAAAGCAGTTCGGGCGTCGGTCATGAAGGAAGAATGTATAGAGTGGCGAGTGTCGAATGTCGAGGAGCTTACCTAACGCGCGACGTCGGTAGCGCGACTGCATAATAACGATCACCTTTCATCCGTCGCAGCCGCTTAACCTAATTTCCGAGCTGCGAGGGAAGAGCTCGAGAAAGTCCGCGGAAACTTTTCCCTCTCTTAAGACTTTGCGAACCGAGGAGAGAAACACATCTCTGCTCTCCTTCCCAAGGGGGATGACCTCCCTATTTTCCATGCCCCCATCTCAATTGAATATTAATTCATATTATTCATCTCAATTCTCTCAATTAATCTTATTCTCCATACCATCACAATTAAAATTATTCTTATTGATATTAATTTTCATTCTNTTTCACGGGCAGAGCGTTCTTCCTTAGAGCCTCCCTAATCCACGAGTTAGAGTTTCAGATAATTCGATGCACCCAGTTTGGAGAAATGTTTTATAAATAATTTCACCTTTTCTTATGTATATATCACACTTTCATATCACCTTAACTGAACGCGGATTTCTTTCTGTCAATAAATCTCATATTAGAATTTTGACAGTGAGGCTATTCACTTGGGAATCAGTGAATACGATTTTCTTCTTTGAGAGCCGATTGTCTTTGATTTCATACAATAAAGAACAATGCGATCGATAACAAGTGACGTGTTTGGCCTTAAAATAGTGACAGTATTTGATGATGTATAGTAATTTCTGCTTACGATTTCCCCATGATTTCCTGAGGGAAAACCCTCTCGATTTTGAGATTTTTTTTCTCACAATGTCTATACACATATCCTCTATAAAAGTCAGTTTGGTCACGGGGTGATAAATAAGAAATACCGATAATAATGTAAGTTTTAACCAAACGGATAAATCATTTTATAATTCACTTTCCTCGATGAGTACGGGACCAAGAGAAAGTTGAAAAACCGCCTAAAGTGAAAGGCCATCCCATCGAAAAGCCGAGATAATGAAAATGTACCGATGAAATTCGTATTAAATAAATATGGCAATACCTTCGATTAAAAAAAAAAAACGCATAGAATAACCTATTTAATTTGCTATTTACGTCTTCAACCTTAACCACAGGGAAATTAATTGAAACTTGCAAATTTAATTATATTTAAAGTTTATAATTTTAAGTCACCGGGTTAAATTATATTTACGTCAAATAAACGATTAATAATTATACATATTAAAGGCTGCGAATAAAATAATTCACTTGACATTCGAACCAGATGACTGAAGTGTAATTTAATTTTTATTACGTCTTGACATTGTATTTAACAAAAGACGGATAAATAGAAAGTGGACGATTCTCAACGGTGCAAAAATGTGCTTGAAAAAGAAATAACTGAAAATGTTTATCGAAACAATTGGAGAGACATTGGTACACGGTATTACCGAGCAATCGTAAGTGACGTTTGAAAGTACGCGAAATTATGCTTAGCTAATGCCTCAAAACAATCGTAATTTACATTTCTCCTTTCTCGATACATTCTTCCTCGAACCGAGAATTGAAATGATATTTTCTTCCGTAATGTCCTACAAGGAAACGAGAAGTTAAAGGAAATTACTGACAATCATACGCCATTGCAGGAATTATGTCCAGTCTAAATAGTTACGGTAATAATTTCTTCCAATTATTCCCCTACGGAATGCCCGACTAAAAATGTTAATAAGAGAAGATAATGCCGGAAAATCCATCCATCAATTATTACCATTGCCACTGAATGTTGCTATTTACGCCTTAGATCTTTTTATTGCTAAATAAGATTATCCAGTCATGCATCATTAATGTTTTACAAACAACTTTAATTATCACTTATCGCATTATCCTTCCTTTCAATACAATGTAAATAGAGAAATGATAAAGGATATTGTTTATTACGTCCAAAAATCTAAACAGTCACTTCGAAAATTGTAAAACGAAAGTAAAAAAAAAACCTGACCTCTCGTTTTCGAATTTCAGAACAATATAACTTAATTAGTCGTTATTAGATATGTTTCTCCCCTACCTCATCCTTTTTGCACAACTCCTTGACTTTTATTTTCACGAACCAATTAATGATAATTAAATTAATGCGCACTTCTTATCAGTTGAACATATTCGCAGATGTAAACACTTTATGTAGATCGAAAGTGAAATCAATCGTTGAGCTACTTTTTACTCGGTTACTTATATTTGCTCTTAGTGCACGTCAATTAACATATTAAGCAAAAGAAGAATAAAAGCGTTAGAATTAAAAAATAAAAAGAAATATAATACTACGAGTATTTTCACAAATTTCGTACGAATGCTTCATAAAGTGAACATTTGCGTTATTTGACATTGTTATATATATATATTTTTTTTTTTCGTTTACTTACGATTTGCACATTTCTGCGCAACCGGAAGTGAAAGAAATCTTCCTGGTCGATTGCTGTGAGGTCGAACCTCGTTAATCGCCGGCTCGACGGTGACAATGGCGGCGAAAATGACGACCACCATAAACGGCACCGAAATCATCTTAAAAAGTAAAAAAATCATTTCTCAGTGACGATTTGTTCGTTCAATGCAAATATATGCTCTAAGAAAATGAATAGAATGAATATAGGAACTGCTTGTACATTTGAATGTTACCATAAGTGGCATTGAAATCATCTTAAAAAGTAAAAAAATCATTTCTCAGTGACGATTTGTTCGTTCAATGCAAATATATGCTCTAAGAAAATGAATAGAATGAATATAGGAACTGCTTGTACATTTGAATGTTACCATAAGTAGCACCGTGAGAATGAATAGTAAAGTACAGAACTAATTATTGTAAAGAGATGAATAAGTCATGTCAAAAGCCGTGTATGAATATAACAGAGTATAAATGAGTGAGTGAGACAATTAGTCATGTCGAAAGCTTTGAAAGGAATTTAACAATGATTATCCAGAAAATATTTATATACGCTTTAAGAAGTCAAAAGTTGCGAATGAAAAATGACCGTAAGAATGAGTTGTACAGTACAGATGAAATTATTGTAAAGAAATGTCGAAAGCCGTGTAAGGGATTTAAAAATGAGCATTCGGAAAATATTTTTTATACGCTTCAAGGAGTTTAAATCGTGAATGATTAATCACTATAGGGATGAGTTATGAATTACAAAGATATCGGTTAGAAAGAAATGAGTCGTCAAGGAAAGTGTAAGGAATGAAATATGAAAAGTATAGAGGCACTTACGGTGAATGTCGATAAAAAGATACTAGAGTATTTGGAAATTATTTTTATACGTTTCAAGGAGCAAAAATCCTAAATAAATAATCACGATATGGATGAGTTATGAATTACAAAGATATCGGTTAGAAAGAAATGAGTCGTCAAGGAAAGTGTAAGGAATGAAATATGAAAAGTATCGAGGTACTTACGGTGAATGTCGGTAAAAAGAGACTCGGGAAGTTTGAAGGAAGAGTTGCCGGTGTTAAAAAACGCAATCACGCGATATGTTATGGAGAGACGGGGCCCGACACGGTCGGTTATATAGAATAGGTCCCCACCGCTAAAAAGAGAGTGGGGTCCGATCCCACCCTGGATGCTAGGCACAAGGATCCCTGGTGACATCCGTACCCACGACCTCGGGAAGATCGTTGCTCGTTGTCGGTAATTAGGGGTTGCAGATCCCGCCAATGCGCCGGCATCGCTTACAGACCGTCCCTGAAACTCCTTTTTACCAAGAAATTTAAGATAAAGTGGAAACACCTCGAGGAACTTGATCGACGTTGGTAAAAAAGACTTTTCTAAATGCCAACATTCGTTTTTATATTCGTATCGTTTTTATATTTCATGAGGGGTCTCACTTCACCTTAACTCACTTTGTTACTTGAGAAGTTACATGTGAACATTTGTACAAAGTGGAATACATTTATCGTAAATTGAGTAACAATGAATTAAAATGCAACATTATTTTCCTTATTCTTAGTTTAGATGGAGAGAAAAAGCAAGATGGCGTCCCGGCCTGTCACGTGGTATGTCACGTGGTATGTCCCATGATACGTTCCATGGTTTATCACGTGATATCTCACATTTATTTAAATATTTAGGTAATTATTTATTTCCTCTGTTAGCGGATAATCATCTTGGTTCAGAAATAACCGATTCATAATTCTTATCCAGCCTTTTTTGTTCGACAAGTTCCAAGAATAACGAGTTGCCAAGATGTCGATAAACTCAGGTGATAAAACCTCACCTTTAAACTCGGTTAAGAGGTTCATCCTTGTTACCGTAACTTAATAGCTTCATTATTTCATATGCAGCATAACTTGTTTCTCCGTCTAGGCTTTACGATAACGGTAAGTTATGTAATTCTCGGGGAACAATATGTATTCGCATACTCTGTGACGAGAGTGATTCATCGGCTTTCGAACCATTAACTTTACAATCGCATTAATTAGCAACCTGTTTGGTCAACTTATTATCAAAATCCGCGGATTGATAAAAGACTAAATAAATGAACTTATTTTTACGAGAATTAATTTTTTCCTCGATGAAATTGATTGATAATTGTAATCTCAACATTGTCAGAAATCTCGACAAATACATAATTGTATAATTTTATCTTGCTTTTCTCTAACGGCGCGTGGAACAAGGAAAATTGTTTAATTATTTTCAACTGTTAAAGTGTAAATTTGAGGCAGCTTTGAAATTTCCGGAAAATAGTAAACTGTGATATGTAAAAATAGTAAACTGTGATTTGTAAAAATAGTAAACCGTGATATCTAAAAATAGTAAACCGTGATTTGTAAAAATAGTAGACCGTGATTTGTAAAAATAGTAGACCGTGATTTGTAAAAATAGTAAACTGTGATTTATAAAAATAGTAAACTGTGATTTATAAAAATAGTAAACTGTGATTTGTAAAAATAGTAGACCGCAATTTGTAAAAATAGTAAACTGCGATTTGTAATAATGTAATTCGGTGATTTCCTGAATCCTTTTCCCCAGTATTTCTTGCTTCTTGTTTGTCTAATTATGCATCTTTATTTTTCATCCTGCAACATTTTGTGCCTCGTTTCGATTTCTCATTTATTCACCGCCATAAACGTGTCAACATTCCTTTCTTAACGTTAATTCTCGGATTCTAAAAGATCACACGTGAGTCAATTTGTTCCACGTGTCTTTCGCGAACTTCCCAACTTGCTAATTCAACCAATCGATACATATACGATGCATATTCATTTACCGCATTGCGACAGACATTTATCCATAGCCATATCTCATTTACGAAGGACTTACTTTGCGTAGAATCTCCCATTAAGCCACTCGGTAAAAGGATTCACTTGTTGCTTTCCAAGTGAAGAAATGTATAAGTGAAGATCTGCGCACTTCGCGTTCTCTTAGGATGTTTTTTTCTCCTTAACCTCGCTCCAAATCTTTTTGTACATCATCGACACAACATGGATTATTTAACGTTAAACGAATTCAATGAGAAAATAGCCGAAAATACTTTTGCGAGCGCTTGTAAAAGAATGCTCGTCCCGTGGATAAGTTTATAGAGAAAACATTTAGTTGCAGCTAATCATCCAAGATGGCGCCGCTGATCCGTTAGAATATAAAGAACCATGAACACCCGGGATTTCGGCAGTTTTACTTCGATCTCTTTATAATTATTCTACCGAAATTACATAAGGAACATTTCGTATAATTCTCGAGGTAAAGTGTAAGAAACGTCAACATATATGCAAATATCGGTAACGCGGAGCGTCAGCTTATGTTACCATTTCAGTATTCAAAATGGCGTTACCACCAAAAAGGGGGTAGATGAATGTTAATATATCGACGTTGATTAAATTACTCGGCGCCTTTGGTGCCGCCTTAAAATCCACGATTTCCTGAGTGAATTCGTTCAGTAAGTTCAAACTCGTTGCATTTCAGCTTCTTATAAATCCCTTGCACGTTTCAGATAACCTCCAAGTATCATTGACAATCGAAAACATGTTGACCGGTAAAAGGTTTCGCTTGTTTTAACTTTCTACTGGGCCCTCTGGCGAGAACGTGAACTTAGTTATGTTTGGACTTTTTACATTTTTCACATTGTTCGTGACTTGCCCATGGACGTAGGATATATTGAGATGGCAAACTCACCATTATATAAATATCTTGAAAATAGGGAAAAGGAAAGAAAGCGAATAGAGGGGCAACCCATAGATCAACGAAGAAAAAAATGATGCAAAGGGTACTTGCCCATGGATGTAGGATGTATGGAGATGACAAACTCACCGTTCTATATGTATCCTGAAAATAGGGAAAAGGAAATAAAGCTAATAGAGGGGCAACCCATAGATCAACGAAAAAAAGAATTATGCAAAGGGTACTTGCCCATGGATGTAGGATATATGGAGATGGCAAACTCACCGTTCTATAAGTATCCTGAAAATAGGGAAAAGGAAAGAAAGCAAATAGAGTCCTGAAAATAGGGAAAAGGAGAGAAAGCGAATAGAGGGGCCACTCCATAGATCAACGAAGAAAAGAATAATGCAAAGGGTACTTGCCCATGGATGTAGGATATATGGAGATGGCAAACTCACCATTCTATAAGTATCCTGAAAATAGGAAAAAGGAAAGAAAGCGAATAGAGGGGCAACTCCATAGATTCCTGTGAACAGTATGAAAAACATTTTTTTTTGTTTTATAATACCGAAGAAATACTTTGTTAACTCCAAGAATAACTACTTTACTCGGATAAATTATCTCAATTACGAGTAAATGTTGCATCCATTGAATAAGTAATCAACGATGCCAGATAATATATTATTAATTACAACGTGGTTCTGCTTGTGGAAATGAAAATTAATTTTTCATCCTTTACAAATTGTCCGCGAACTTATATGGAACAATATAAAGCTTAAGGCCAAAAGAGGGCATTGTTAAGTAAGATGTTTTTTTCTCTTCATACGCCCAAAACAAGGAGACACCCCTTTTGTTATTATTGAATTATACGTAAAGTTACGATCGCGTAGGAGTTCTCGGGCGCTTTCGCGTCATATTAATCATTAATCATCTCCGTGGGTATTCGATTTCAATGGACGACCATAATCGCGGACATGGACTGGACGTCCTTTCAACGACCATTATGGATTTCCTTGGGAACCTGATCTCAACGGATGACCGTAGAAATATTTTCATATAAAAATAAACGATCGTATAGTTAATCGCAAAGCCGTGCCGACGTATCATCTTCCTCTTAAAATAATGATTTTTTTTTCTAAACTCAACCAGAATAAATGTCCGAAAATGCAATGATCCTTATCACTCAACCCTACGAGTTTCGTGATTAAGAAATTTTAAATTTTAAATTTCGTGATAAAGAAATATTAAAAAAAAAAAAAGAAAAATGAAAAGTTCGAAACGCGATCGAAAACTTAGGTTTTAAAGGAAATCCTTTAGATCGCTCGTTTTAAATTTTTCATTTTTTTTTTTGAGTTTAAATTCAAAGAATGACCGTAGAAATATTTCCATATAAAAATGAATGATTATACAGTTAATCGCAAAGCAGATGATCTTCCTCTTAAAATTATGATTTTCCTTTTCTACTCTAGCAGTAAAAAGCAATATCCAAAAATATAATAATGCTTGTCACTTGCTATTAACTGTCCACCTCAACAGTCATTTTCACGTTATAAAGGAATAAAAGAAACCCGTTCAGATGAGAAAAAATAATTAAGGCCTTGGAATTTGTTTGTCAAGTCCACCTTGAAACAAAAAGGTGCTTCCACCTGATGCCCCTTTCGATGTTGAACAACTTTTACTTGGAACGTTTCTTTCCGGTGTGCTTCGAGACCTCTGTTTTAAATGCCTCACCGCGTATAATAAACTTAATTACCCGATAAGTCAAATCAGTAATACCTGATTAATTGAATTTCACGAATATTTAAGTCTTTAAAGACGTAAGACTTCTTTGGGTACCATTTTCTTTTCATCTGCCAACATAAATTACTAGATATATTTTTCCATTACAGATTAATTAAAAATATATTAACGCGGTAATTGGAATTAATCAATGGATTTTCGAGCCGATACTTTGTTCGTTTTCTGATACATCTTGTAAATGGTCACACGAGACGATTCCATACGCATTTTGTTACGCAATGGTAACCACGGTGTCGGTACGTTTCCTTAGTCGAAGAATCGTTAAGGTGTCGGTGGTGTCATCGATTTCGTAAGATGTTACGACCACGTTACAGAAGCCTAATGCCGCGCGTCCAACAACGCCCTGGTCAAGGAACTTTCGTTTCCCCTCGACCGGTATTTAAATGCGTTAAATATTCATCGATCAATAGTTAAGCATTCCCGATAATGATTTCAACCGGTACTAAGGAATTATGTCATAACGAAATTCTATTATATCCCGAGAAATACGCACCGATGCTGTCTCTATTAGATATCAATTTGGTCGGCCATCTTGGAAAACTCCCGAAGAGGATAAGCGTCGATCTCCGACCCTT